TTTTTTTTTTTTTTTTTTTTTTTATATTAGTGAGAACACTGTACCTTTAATTTAAATCCCCTTGGAGTCTGATGGGGAAGGAAATAATCGAAGCAGTATGACATGCAGATGGTGCCGTCGATCTTGAATCACCGCACACTTCACTCATTTGGCAGCACGGGGGCCAAAACCAGATGTGGAGCCACATGGTGGCGGTGGAGGGGGCCAGCACAAGGGGGAGGCCATACAGCACCCTATGACAAAAATGGAAACCACGGTACGGGGGCCCATGGCAGATTACGGGCCCGGCAGCAGCAATGGGAGGCCGTACAGGGACCCATGACACACTCGATGGACCTGGCAGCAGCATGAGGAGGCGCAGGCGGTACAGGGGCCTATGACAGATTACGGGCCTGGCAGCAGCATGAGGAGGCTCGGTACAGGGCCCATGACAGATTCTGGACCTGGCAGCAGCATGAGGAGGCGGTAGCAGGGGCGCCATGACTGCCAGCGACCTGGCAGCAGCAAATTGGGTACAGAGAGGACGTTCAGCTTCACCAGCGCTCAATGCTCGCAAACTGTTGTCTTTTTGGAAAACGGATCCCAATGAAAGACTAACAAGGACCCATGACAGATTCGGGACCTGGCAGCAGCATGAGGAGTCGGTACGGGGGCCCATGGCAGATTACGGGCCTGGCAGCAGCTATGGGGAGGCCCGTAATCTGCCAGCACCCTATGACAAAAAAATGGAACACACCAGCAGTGTGAGGAGACCTGAAAGTGGCACATGGCAGAGTGTGGCGATGGAGACAGCAGCAATGGGAGGCCGTACAGGGACCCATGAGAGACTCTGGACCTGGCAGCAGCATGAGGAGGCGGTAAGGGGCCCATGGCAGATTAGGGGCCTGGCAGCAGCTATGGGAGGCCCGTAATCTGCCAGCACCCTATGACAAAAAATGGAACACACCAGCAGTGTGAGGAGACCTGAAAGTGGCACATGGCAGAGTGTGGCGATGGAGACAGCAGCAATGGGAGGCCGTACAGGGACCCATGAGAGACTCTGGACCTGGCAGCAGCATGAGGAGGCGGTACAGGGGCCCATGGCAGATTAGGGGCCTGGCAGCAGCTATGGGAGGCCCGTAATCTGCCAGCACCCTATGACAAAAAATGGAACACACCAGCAGTGTGAGGAGACCTGAAAGTGGCACATGTTTTGAGTGGGCATGATTCATGGCGGATTTAGTCAGTTGTGTCAGCAGCAACTGGTGGTTTGAGGCCAGTACTAATCCACCCTGATTCATTTTGGACCTGGCGTGAGTCTCTCCACACTTTGGGTGGGACAGTCGTGTCCTCCGCGGAGATTACAATACCTCCTGCCGCACTAAACACGCGCTCCGATGCCCACGCTACTGGCCGGGCATGACAGCCTTTCAAGGGCAAATTCAGCTAGTTGGGGCCAAAGGTCAAGTTTTCGTTGCCCAGTAGTCAAGGGGGATTGTCTACCTCGGTTGGCAGGGTGCTGTCCAAGTAGGCCCAAGCCTGTTGTTTGAGGTCCTGCCCAGGTCCACCTGATGCTGCTGCTGCTGCGGCTGGTTAGTAGTTTCCTCACTGCGCCCATGGTGAAGAAAGCTACTCATCATCGACTGCAGACTGAGGCAGCCGCTGAAAAAAATGGAGCTGCCACTGCTCCTACCACCCCACCCCTCCCCTGCTGCCATGGCAGCGGAACGCGAGACGCGCACAGGGCCCACAGTGTCTGAGGATGGACGTTGGGCGCAGAAAGGCAGAGACCAGCTGACTACTACATAGGTGGTTTTTATAGTACGTTATTTTGGCCTCCCTCTCAGCAGGTGTGAAAAAGGCCACCATTTTTGAACGGTGGAGCGAGGGTCCAACAAGGTGTGACAGCCAAAAGTCATCCCTCTGTCTGATGGTTATTATTCGGCTGTCGCTACGCAAGCAAGCCGAGCATGCTATGGGCCATTTTGTGCCAAGGAATGCGAGGGACTCCCTGCCTCCATCTCCACAGCATACTGCCACGGTGCGTCTGGGTCCTCTGTCTCCTCCTCCTCCTCCTCTACCAGATGCTCCTGCTCCTCCACTCCTGTCCGCTGAGTGGAAAAACCACCCATTTCACTCAATAATTCCTGAGCACCAATGTCCTCCTCTACCTCCTCCTCTTCTTCCTGTCCTGCCCCCACAGGGGTCATGTGGCGTTGAGATCTGTGCGCCACGTCTACCGCACCCTGACCAGCCATTGTTAACAGCATTTGTTCCAGGACGTGCAACAGAGGAATGACGTCGTTCATCCCATAGTCCTGCCGACTCACGAATAGCGTGGCCTCCTCAAAGGGCCTGAGCAAGCGGCAGGTGTCACGCATGAGCTGCCAATGGCTGACATCTAAGTTACACAGGGAGTACCTTTATCCGCTTGTAACATCAGGAAATCTGTGATGGCCTTTCGCTGTTCGTAAAGGCGGGTCTAACATATGTAGGGTTGAATTCCACCTTGTTGCAACGTCACAGCATGAGGAGTCGGTACGGGGGGGCCCATGGCAGATTACGGGCCTGGCAGCAGCAATGGGAGGCCCGTAATCTGCCAGCACCCTATGACAAAAAAAATGAACACACCAGCAGTGTGAGGAGACCTGAAAGTGGCACATGGCAGAGTGTGGCGATGGATGGAGACAGCAGCAATGGGAGGCCGTACAGGGACCCATGAGAGACTCTGGACCTGGCAGCAGCATGAGGAGGCGGTACAGGGGCCCATGGCAGATTAGGGGCCTGGCAGCAGCTATGGGAGGCCCGTAATCTGCCAGCACCCTATGACAAAAAATGGAACACACCAGCAGTGTGAGGAGACCTGAAAGTGGCACATGGCAGAGTGTGGCGATGGAGACAGCAGCAATGGGAGGCCGTACAGGGACCCATGAGAGACTCTGGACCTGGCAGCAGCATGAGGAGGCGGTATAGGGGCCCATGGCAGATTAGGGGCCTGGCAGCAGCTATGGGAGGCCCGTAATCTGCCAGCACCCTATGACAAAAAATGGAACACACCAGCAGTGTGAGGAGACCTGAAAGTGGCACATGGCAGAGTGTGGCGATGGAGACAGCACTGGGAGGCCGTACAGGGACCCATGAGAGACTCTGGACCTGGCAGCAGCATGAGGAGGCGGTACAGGGGCCCATGGCAGATTAGGGGCCTGGCAGCAGCAATGGGAGGCCCGTAATCTGCCAGCACCCTATGACAAAAAATGGAACACACCAGCAGTGTGAGGAGACCTGAAAGTGGCACATGGCAGAGTGTGGCGATGGAGACAGCAGCAATGGGAGGCCGTACAGGGACCCATGAGAGACTCTGGACCTGGCAGCAGCATGAGGAGGCGGTACAGGGGCCCATGGCAGATTAGGGGCCTGGCAGCAGCTATGGGAGGCCCGTAATCTGCCAGCACCCTATGACAAAAAATGGAACACACCAGCAGTGTGAGGAGACCTGAAAGTGGCACATGGCAGAGTGTGGCGATGGAGACAGCAGCAAATGGGAGGCCGTACAGGGACCCATGAGAGACTCTGGACCTGGCAGCAGCATGAGGAGGCGGTATAGGGGCCCATGGCAGATTAGGGGCCTGGCAGCAGCTATGGAGGCCCGTAATCTGCCAGCACCCTATGACAAAAAATGGAACACACCAGCAGCAGTGTGAGGAGACCTGAAAGTGGCACATGGCAGAGTGTGGCATGGCATGGAGGCTGTACAGGGACCCATGGCAGGCAGCAGCATGAGGAGGCGGTACAGGGGCCCATGGCAGATTAGGGGCCTGGCAGCAGCTATGGGAGGCCCGTAATCTGCCAGCACCCTATGACAAAAAAATGAAACACCAGCAGTGTGAGGAGACCTGAAAGTGGCACATGGCAGAGTGTGGCGATGGAGACAGCAGCAATGGGAGGCCGTACAGGGACCCATGAGAGACTCTGGACCTGGCAGCAGCATGAGGAGGCGGTACAGGGGGCCCCATGGCAGATTAGGGGCCTGGCAGCAGCTATGGGAGGCCCGTAATCTGCCAGCACCCTATGACAAAAAATGGAACACACACAGCAGTGTGAGGAGACCTGAAAGTGGCACATGGCAGAGACACTGTGGCGATGGAGACAGCAGCAATGGGAGGCGGTACAGGGACCCTCTGGACCTGGCAGCAGCATGATTAGGGGCCTGGGGCATGGCAGATTACAGGCAGGCAGCAGCATGGGAGGCCCGTAATCTGCCAGCACCCTATGACAAAAAAATGGAACACACACAGCAGTGTGAGGAGACCTGAAAGTGGCACATGGCAGAGTGTGGCGATGGAGACAGCAGCAATGGGAGGCCGTACAGGGACCCATGAGAGACTCTGGACCTGGCAGCAGCATGAGGAGGCGGTAGCAGCTATGGGGCCCATGGCAGATTAGGGGCCTGGCAGCAGCAGATGGGAGGCCCGTAATCTGCCAGCACCCTATGACAAAAAATGGAACACACAGCAGTGTGAGGAGACCTGAAAGTGGCACATGGCAGAGACACTGGGACCTGGCAGCAGCATGAGGAGGCGGATACAGGGGCCCATGGCAGATTAGGGGCCTGGCAGCAGCTATGGGAGGCCCGTAATCTGCCAGCACCCTATGACAAAAAATGGGACCAGCAGTGTGAGGAGACCTGAAAGTGGCACTGGCAGAGTGTGGCGATGGAGACAGCAGCAATGGGAGGCCGTATGGACCCATGAGACACTGTGGACCTGGCAGCAGCATGAGGAGGCGGTACAGGGGGCCCATGGCAGATTAGGGGCCTGGCAGCAGCTATGGGAGGCCCGTAATCTGCCAGCACCCTATGACAAAAAATGGAACACACCAGCAGTGTGAGGAGACCTGAAAGTGGCACATGGCAGAGTGTGGCGATGGAGACAGCAGCAATGGGAGGCCGTACAGGGACCCATGAGAGACTCTGGACCTGGCAGCAGCATGAGGAGGCGGTATAGGGGCCCATGGCAGATTAGGGGCCTGGCAGCAGCAGCTATGGGAGGCCCGTAATCTGCCAGCACCCTATGACAAAAAAATGGAACACACCAGCAGTGTGAGGACACACACAGCAGTGTGGCGATGGAGACCTGAAAGTGGGCCGTACAGGGGACATGAGAGACTCTGGGACCTGGCAGCAGCATGAGGAGGCGGTACAGGGGCCCATGGCAGATTAGGGGCCTGGCAGCAGCTATGGGAGGCCCGTAATCTGCCAGCACCCTATGACAAAAAATGGAACACACCAGCAGTGTGAGGAGAGACCTGAAAGTGGCACATGGCAGAGTGTGGCACTGTGGACCTGGCAGCAGCAATGGGAGGCGGTACAGGGGCCCATGAGCAGATTGGGGCCTGGCAGCAGCATGAGGAGGCGGTAGGCCCATGGCAGATTAGGGGCCTGGCAGCAGCAGGGAGGCCCGTAATCTGCAAGCACCCTATGACAAAAAATTGAACACACCAGCAGCAGTGTGAGGAGACCTGAAAGTGGCACATGGCAGAGTGTGGCGATGGAGACAGCAGCAATGGGAGGCCGTACAGGGACCCATGAGACACTCTGGACCTGGCAGCAGCATGAGGAGGCGGTACAGGGGCCCATGGCAGATTAGGGGCCTGGCAGCAGCTATGGGAGGCCCGTAATCTGCCAGCACCCTATGACAAGGAACACACCAGCAGTGTGAGGAACCTGAAATGGGCACACACCAGCAGTGTGGCGAGGAGACCTGAAAATGTGGGCACATGGCATGAGACACTGTGGACCTGGCAGCAGCATGAGGAGGCGGTACAGGGGCCCATGGCAGATTAGGGGCCTGGCAGCAGCAATGGGAGGCCCGTAATCTGCCAGCACCCTATGACAAAAAATGGAACACACACAGCAGTGTGTGAGGAGACCTGAAAGTGGCACATGGCAGAGTGTGGCGATGGAGACAGCAGCAATGGGAGGCCGTACAGGGACCCATGAGAGACTCTGGACCTGGCAGCAGCATGAGGAGGCGGTACAGGGGCCCATGGCAGATTAGGGCCTGGCAGCAGCTATGGGAGGCCCGTAATCTGCCAGCACCCTATGACAAAAAATGGAACACACCAGCAGTGTGAGGAGACCTGAAAGTGGCACATGGCAGAGTGTGGCGATGGAGGACAGCAGCAATGGCAGCCGTACAGGGACCCATGAGGACACTGGACGGCAGCAGCATGAGGAGGCGGTACAGGGGCCCATGGCAGCAGAATAGGGGCCTGGCAGCAGCTATGGGAGGCCGTAATCTGCCAGCACCCTATGTCAAAAAATGAACACACCAGCAGTGTGAGGAGACCTGAAAGTGGCACATGGCATGGCAGACACTGTGTGGACAGCAGCATGAGGAGGCGGTACAGGGGCCCATGGCAGATTAGGGCCTGGCAGCAGCTATGGGAGGCCCAGTAATCTGCCAGCAGCCCTATGACAAAAAATGGAACACACCAGCAGTGTGAGGAGACCTGAAAGTGGCACATGGCAGAGTGTGGCGATGGAGACAGCAGCAATGGGAGGCCCGTACAGGGACCCATGAGAGACTCTGGACCTGGCAGCAGCATGAGGAGGCGGTAAGGGGGCCCCATGGCAGATTAGGGGCCTGGCAGCAGCTATGGGAGGCCCGTAATCTGCCAGCACCCTATGACAAAAAAATGGAACACACACCAGCAGTGTGAGGAGACCTGAAAGTGGCCTGAAAGGTGGCGCACATGGCATGAGACACTGTGGACCTGGCAGCAGCATGAGGAGGCGGTACAGGGGCCCATGGCAGAGATTAGGGGCCTGGCAGCAGCTATGGGAGGGCCCGTAATCTGCCAGCACCCTATGACAAAAAATGGAACACAACAGCAGTGTGTGAGAGACCTGAAAGTGGCACATGGCAGAGTGTGGGCGATGGAGAAGCAGCAGCAATGGGAGGCCGTACAGGGACCCATGAGAGATAAGGACTGGCAGCCACATTGATGGCAGCAGCATGAGGAGGCGGTACTAGGGCCCCATGGCAGATTAGGGGCCTGGCAGCAGCTATGGGAGGCCCGTAATCTGCCAGCACCCTATATGACAAAAAAATTGAACACAACAGCAGTGTGTGAGGAGACCTGAAAGTGGCCTTACATGGCATGAGACAACTGTGGACCTGGCAGCAGCATGAGGAGGCGGTACAGGGGCCCATGGCAGATTAGGGGCCTGGCAGCAGCTATGGGAGGCCCGTAATCTGCCAGCACCCTATGACAAAAATCTGGAACACACCAGCAGTGTGAGGAGACCTGAAAGTGGCATGGCACATGGCATGAGACAGGGACTGTGGACCTGGACTGGCAGCAGCATGAGGAGGCGGTACATAGGGCCCATGGCAGATTAGGGGCCTGGCAGCAGCTATGGGAGGCCCGTAATCTGCCAGCACCCTATGTCAAAAAATGGAACACACCAGCAGTGTGTGAGGAGACCTGAAAGTGGCACATGGCAGAGTGTGGCGATGGAGACAGCAGCAATGGGAGGCCGTACAGGGACCCATGAGAGACTCTGGACCTTGGCAGCAGCATGAGGAGGCGGTATAGGGGCCCATGGCAGATTAGGGGCCTGGCAGCAGCTATGGGAGGCCCGTAATCTGCCAGCACCCTATGACAAAAAATGGAACACACCAGCAGTGTGAGGAGACCTGAAAGTGGCACATGTTTGGGGCATGATTCATGGCGGATTTAGTCAGTTGTGTCAGGAACTGGTGGTTTGAAATCCAGACTAATCCACCCTGATTCATTTTCACAAACGTGAGTCTCTCCACACTTTGGGTGGACAGTCGTGTCCTCCGCGGAGTTACAATACCTCCTGCCGCACTAAACACGCGCTCCGATGCCACGCTACTGGCCGGGCATGACAGCCTTTCAAGGGCAAATTCAGCTAGTTGGGGCCAAAGGTCAAGTTTCGTTGCCCAGTAGTCAAGGGGATTGTCTACCTCGGTTGGCAGGGTGCTGTCCAAGTAGGCCCAAGCCTGTTGTTTGAGGTCCTGCTCCAGGTCCACCTGATGCTGCTGCTGCTGCGGCGGCTGGTTAGTAGTTTCCTCACTGCGCTGGTGAAGAAAGCTACTCATCATCGACTGCAGACTGAGGCAGCCGCTGCTGGTGGAGCTGCCACTGCTCCTACCACCCCACCCCCTCCCCTGCTGCCATGGCAGCGGAACGCGAGCGCACAGGGCCCACACAGTGTCTGAGGATGGACTTGGGCGCAGAAAGGCAGAGACCAACTGACCTACATAGGTGGTTTTTATAGTACGTTATTTTGGCCTCCCTCTCAGCAGGTGTGAAAAAGGCCACCATTTTTGAACGGTAGCGAGGGTCCAACAAGGTGGACAGCCAAAAGTCATCCCTCTGTCTGATGGTTATTATTCGGCTGCGGCTGTCGCTACGCAAGCAACCGAGCATGCTATGGGCCATTTGTGCCAAGGAATGCGAGGGACTCCCTGCCTCCATCTCCTACAGCATACTGCCACGGTGCGTCTGGGTCCTCTGTCTCCTCCTCCTCCTCCTCTACCAGATGCTCCTGCTCCTCCACTCCTGTCCGCTGAGTGGGAAAAACCACCCATTTCACTCAATAATTCCTGTGAGCACAAATGTCCTCCTCTACCTCCTCCTCTTCTTCCTGTCCTGCCCCCACAGGGGTCATGTGGCGTTGAGATCTGTGCGCCACGTCTACCGCACCCTGACCAGCCTTGTTTAACAGCATTTGTTCCAGGACGTGCAACAGAGGAATGACGTCGTTCATCCCATAGTCCTGCCGACGACTCACGAATAGCGTGGCCTCCGCTCAAAGGGCCTTTCTGAGCAAGCGGCAGGTGTCACCATGAGCTGCCAATGGCTGACATCTAAGTTACACAGGGGTAGTACCTTTATCCGCTTGGTGTAACATCAGGAAATCGGTGATGGCCTTTCGCTGTTCGTAAAGGCGGTCTAACATATGTAGGGTTGAATTCCACCTTGTTGCAACGTCGCAGATCAGGCGATGCTGTGGAATTCCGTTCTGCCGCTGCAGCTCAAGGAGGGTGTGCTTTGCGGTTGTAGGAATGGCTGAAATGCATGCAAAGTTTTACGTGACATTTTAAGGATGTCTTGCAGTGGGATGGTGGATTTTTAGGAACCGCTTGACAACCAGATTGAACACGTGAGCCATGCATGGCGCATGGCACAACCTTCCTTGACGCAGAGCAGACACCATCGTACTTTCCGTTGTCGGTCAATCATGGTTCCGAATTTTTAGTTTGCGCAAGGAGAACAAGCCATCGGGCGATTGTCTCTGTTCCATTACACTGAGAAGTTCCTCCCTCTGTGGTGACTACGTTCGCCATGGCCCCTACCAGGTGCAGCACAGCGTGACAACGTTGCGCCCTCACAATGTGATATGCCGGTCGAGTAATGGGACTTGGCACGGGTGCCGCTGAGGACACGAAGGAAGAAGAGGTGGTATAGGACGGACATGTTTGCCGTGACCAAGGACGTGCAAACGTGGAGGCAAAAGCGGCGTGACCTGTCCCAAGTGGCTGTGCGGCTGTGAACGGCACACACGTTCAACCAGTGTTCCGTAAATGACATGTACGGTCCCCTGACCGTAAGTCTACAGCTCCATCACATCGGCGCCTCGGGCCTGCGTGCACTTTTGGCATAGACAGACATGGCTTCAAAGACGGCCCACCATCTCTTCAACATGTGAATGAGCAAGGGCTGGCACTGCTTTTTTGGCGCAAGAAATGACGGCTTGGCACCGCTCACACACGTCCACCACTGCGGCCGCGCTCAAGCCATCACTTTCTCGGAAAGGTGCTGAGTCCACCACTTGGAAAGGGAGGGACTGCAGCACCAGTACAAAAACTTGGACAGTGTTGTTCACTTTTGCACCGTCGGGTGCGTG